GAAATGGTCTAACAGGTTTTATTTTGATGATTGTTAAAATTCTCTTTTATTTTTGGATAACACAGTCACAAAGAATGCTACCGTTTATTTGACCAGTAAAAGACAACGCTTATGAATAAAATTTGAGGAAAAAAAAACAAAAACATATGCCAGCAGGTTTACCTTGATGATAAAAATGATCACGGCTGAGAGCTGCGCCGGCCAGACAATGGTTTCAGATTTGCAGTGTGCCCTGAAAGCTGTGAAAAATGTATTGCCCAGCACCCTGATAAGGAAATCACTCATTCTGAGTGAAGGGAATGAAAAGATTAGAAAAAATAATAATAACCCAAAGGGCAAGAATAAAACAAGCTGGGAAGAGACACACATTTCGAGCTCATATGGCTTGCTTGAAAAGAGTCTTTAGGCTTTCAACTACTCACAGTGATTTCTATTCCTTCCTTCCTAGCCCTCCGAGGCCACTGGGAACACCATCCTAGAGGAGCCAGCCTGCAGCCACCCCTGATGCCATTCTTCGAAGTGTTAGGACGGTGACAGTGTCGCCTCTGATCCTCCCCTCCATGGGCACACCATTCAAGGATTCGCAGCCCTTGCTGGCCTGGCAGCAGGAGACAAATTTAGTTTCCAGGGGGCAGTTACCCACAAGCTTTTTTTTTTTTTTAATGATTTTATTTATTTGTGAGAGACACAGAGAGAAAAAGAGGCAGAGACACAGGCAGAGGGAGAAGCAAGCTCCATGCAGGGAGCCCGACGTGGGACTCGATCCTGGGTCTCCAGGATCATGCCCTGGGCCAAAGGCGGCACCAAACCACTAAGCCACCGGGGCTGCCCACCCACAAGCTTTTTTTCTGAACAGGGTTTCTTTCCATCACACTCTTCTGGGCCTCACTGCTCCCCGGAAGCCTGGGCAAATACGAAGTGGAGCAAGTATGGGTACGTCAAAGCCCCAGTGAGTCTTCCTGCCGGATCATTTTCACCGAGCAATACGAGAATGGAATATTTTGATTTTCCCGACATCGAAAGCTACCCCGAGTTATTTAGCATTTTCGTTATCTCCTCACTCTTATGAATGCCGCTTTCTCAGCCAGGAAGCTACAAAGCCAACTTCTTAGGAGATTCCAGATTTTATTAAACATTTATCTGCTTTCCTCAACAGTGAATGTACGTTAGCTTGATTATAAAATGAGTGACCTTTTTTTAGGGGAAGGGAAGGTGGTAAATGGAACATAGGACTCATCACCAGCTGATGCTGAAGGGATAAATAAAAGGCCTGGGCGGGGGGTGTGGGGGGGACTCCTCACACCTCAGCTGGGATGGTGTATCCAGGGATGGAGACTGGAAGGAAAGGCTCTGCTTGGCTCTGCCCTGGGAACACACATGCACACACACACATACACACATGCACATGCACACCAGGGACTGCCCTTGAGGGCAGTCATTAGCCAGGCTGGACCTCATGTCCTAGGCTCTGCCCTCAACCAGAGCTACTGTAGTCTCAAAATAGCCACTACTTGGGACTGTGCCTTGCTTTGCTGATTCTTCACATTCAGACACTAGAAGCAGATCACAGAGGTAAGGAATGGAAGGCAGTCTTGCAGACATGCCTCAGCCTGTTTGCAGAGCTCAGATCCCTTGGCCAGAACAGTGGCCCAGAGATGAAGAAACTGAATCCCATTCAGCAAAGAAGGGGCCTCAGAGTGCCTGTAGCTCTGCCTCCTTCCTGACCCCTCCACTAGAGGACCCTGGACTCAACATAACGAGGAAGGGGCTGGCCAGGGGATTACTGGCTCCTCTAGCCTTGCTTGCAATCCTTTCCTTGAGAATGTCACATGTATCTTTGCTCTTTAAACACTCAGACTGCATTTTGGTCAGAAGAATTTTTTTCTTTAAGTTATATTTATTTAAATAATCTCTACACCGGATGTGGGACTCCAACTCACAACCACACAATCAGGAGTCACATGTTCTTCCAACTAAGTCAGCCAGTCACCCCTTGATCAGGAGAATGTTTAAGGTGTGTCATGGAAGGATCCGTGGTAAGGCTATATTTGAAATGTTTTGCAAAGAAATCGGGTTGTAGTATTTAAAGCCCAGATCACTCTGGGTCTGAGGGGATGGATTTAAAAACAGATTTCAAGATAAGTCTTGAGCAGTTGGAAGATATGGCAGTGGTCCTAGGCTTGGGCAATGTCCCTGTTCTTTTCCAGGAGCTGATGAAAGGGACTAGCCTTGGGGTGCCTGGGAGGTTCAATCAGTTAAGCATGGGACTCTTGATTTCGGCTCAGATCATGATCTCAGGGTCATGAGATCGAGTTCTGCTGCTGTGGACTGCTTGGGATTCTCTGCTTCCCTCTCCCTCTGCCTACCTCTCCACACCCCCCCCCCACTCTTTCTCTAGAAAGAAAGAAAGAAAGAAAGAAAGAAAGAAAGAAAGAAAGAAAGAAAGAAAGAAAGAAAGAAAGAAAGAAAGAGGGAAACAGCCTGACCCTCTGGGCATCTTCCACTGGGTAACATCCTCATCCATTTGCCAGACCCGCCTGAGTCTCTGTCCAGTGGTTCCAGACCAACAGCAGGGGCGCCACCTCCAGGCCAATCCTGAGAAGTGTAGTTTTGTGAGCCAGACTCATATGTTCATTCTAGGCAGTGTGTATCTGCAAGATAAAGGGCAAAGGGTCTGGACTCCTGGGTTAGGAATACCTTACCCGAGGTAGTTCTAGAATCTGGGGTTTCTTAGCGATCAAGAATCTGAGCAGTCCGTGCCCTACTTTCCCACTCTGATTGCCCCAAGTGACCTCAGAAAAGAGATGGGATTCCTCCTGTATCAGCCTCACTGTGTGTTTTCTTTCAGGGATTCCTCTTTATTTCTTACTTGTCCTTGACCTTCCTCCAGACCAGCATAACTTTACATCCTCAAAGCCATCCCATCCAGCCTGCCTCAAGAAGTCCCCAGACTAAGTGACTTCTATGTGACACTGTGTGAAGAAATCCTGTGATGGCTAATGTACGTGACTTTCTAGGGGAGACATTGCCACTGAGCCAGGTTATTTTTAGGGAGGGGAGTTCCCATCACCTGGCAGCCAGCAGTGCCTGGATCTCACTTGGTTCAGCTCCTACCTTATCAGTCTTCAAAGAGTTGGATATTCACATTTGCTAGCTGAGCAGCCTAAACTATCTAGCAGATATCCTGTCATATTAGCTGAGGATGGCAGGAAAGCCCCATTTCCAAAGCCCCATGACCTGAGAACTTTGAAGTCATGCCAGCTTTGTTGCTGCTTGTCTAAGCAATTCTGCAGGACCATCACCGAGTTGGCTGAAATTCAAGTCCACCCAAAGGTAAGGAATGAACAGGATCCTCTTCCTCCTGAACAGCCATCAATGCCCTGGCAGCAAGATACTGCACATCAGGGTTGAGATCAGACATGGCATCACTCAGCGTGTCATTAAGGATCATTCAAAATCCTGAACATGACCATTCACGGGGACTTTTGGTGACCTTGTGGTCTGAAAACTGCCACTTAAGTCCATCAGCTCTTGACTCACAGGTACTCTGGCTGAGAATAAACAGCAGTGCTGCTGAAGATCAATGGTCACCTTGATGCCCATGGCCATCACATCATCATGGTGGGAAGCAGGTACCCTAACTAACTTACCTCTGGATTCCTGGTGGAATACATCAATCAAGCTCTAGAGAACTCTCTCTGCTGCTCCCTGCTCACCAAGAACACAGCCGTACCACCCACTTTAACTCTGCTATGGACTGAGTAAAAATATTCTCAAAATATGTATCTGACAAAGAAAACGTATCCAGGATATAAAAAACATTCTTGGGGCACCTGGGTGGCTCAGTGGTTGAGCATCTGCCTTTGGCTCCGGTTGTGATCCTGGGATCCTGGGATGCAGTCCCACATCAGGCTCCCCACAGGGAGCCTCCTTCTCCCTCTACCTAGGTCTCTGCCTCTCTCTGTCTCTCATGAATACATAAATAAAATCTTTTAAAAAGTCCTTAAAACTCAATAATGAAAACAATCCAATGTTTAAAATAGGCAAAGGATTTGAAAAGACACTTCACAAAGACAGATGGATAGCCAATATGCACACAAAAAGTGGTCTCCATCACTTGGTCATCAGGGAAATGCAAGCTGAAATCACAATGAGCTACTTCTACACTGCCAACAAAATGACTAAAACTCAAGACTGAAGACACCAAATGTTGAAGAGGATATAGAGTAACCAAAGCTCTACATTTTTGGCGAAAGTTTAAAGTGGCACAACACTCCTGGCTGGCTCAGTTGGAAGAGCACGTGACTCTTGATCTTGGAGTCATGAGTTTGATCCCCATGTTCGGTGCAGATATTATTTTAAATAAATAAATAAACCAATAAATAAATAAAGGTGCCTGGGTGGTGCTGTCAGTAAAGCAGGGAGCCTGCTTCTTCCTCTCCCTCTGCCTACCGCTTGCCCTGCTTGTGCTCTCTTTCTCTCTGTCAAATAAATAAATAAATAAAACCTTTTTAAGAATAAAATAAAAATTAATTAATTAGCTAATTCATTAATTTTTAAAAATTGCACAACTTTGGGAAAATGTGTAACAGTTTCATAAGATTAAACATACAGGGGATCCCTGGGTGGCTCAGCGGTTCAGCGCCTGCCCTTGGGCCCAGGGCGCGATCCTGGAGTCCCGGGATCGAGTCCCACGTCGGGCTCCCTGTGTGGAGCCTGCTTCTCCCTCTGCCTGTGTCTCTGCCTCTCTCTCTTTCTGTGTCTCTCATGAATAAATAAAATCTTTAAAAAAATAAAAATAAAAAAATAAACATACAACTTACTTATGACCCAGTACATCTATTCCTGTGTATTTACCCAAGAGAAATGAAAATGGGACCACACACATACACAAAATTGCACAGAAATGTTTAGGGAAGCTTTGTTTGTTTGTTTTCCTTTAAGTAGGCTTTACACCCAACATGGGGCTGCCCTGAACTCAGGACCCCGAGATCCAGAGTTGCATTTTCTACCAACTGACGTAGCCAGGTGCCCCTAGAAAGACATTTCTTGAGACTCCTGCTTTAAACCAACAGCTTCAGCAAACTGCCGGCCTTGACTCAGGGCCAATGTAATTTACTTTGAAATGCATGAAAAAAAGAGGTGGGTTGGGGATCCCTGGGTGGCGCAGCGGTTTGGTGCCTGCCTTTGGCCCGGGGCGCGATCCTGGAGACCTGAGATCGAATCCCACGTCGGGCTCCCGGTGCATGGAGCCTGCTTCTCCCTCTGCCTGTGTCTCTGCCTCTCTCTCTCTGTGTGTGTGTGACTATCATAAATAAATAAAAATTAAAAAAAAAAAGAGGTGGGTTGATGGGTGGATAAATGGGTGGAGAAATGAACAGTTGCATGATAAAGAATCCAATGTAAATTATAGAATCTTATGGTGGGTATATCAGGAATTACTACACAATTTTTTCCATTTTTTAAAGAATTTTTTTCCATTTTTTTGAGGCCATAGGAAAACTAAATTGGCAATCTTTTGTTTCTCCAGTGACAAACATATGTGGATGTTTGTTATACATCTGTCATATTTCTGTTATTGAAATATTCCATAATAAATACATTAACTAACAGATAAATAGGGCTGCCCCAGTCGCCCAGTGGTTTAGTACCGCCTTCAGTCCACGGAGACCCAGGAGTCCCACCTTGGGCTCCCTGCATGGAGCCTGCTTCTCCCTCTGCCTGTGTCTCTGCCTCTCTCTCTCTCTCTGGGTGTGTGACTCTCGTGAATAAATAAAATCTTTAAAAAAAAACAGAAGAATAAATAAATGTCCCCTGGTGATTCTGATAAGCACCCCGTTGGGCTTCAACAGCTCAGGAGTCTCCATGAACAGCATGCAGCGGAGCCACACAGCACTTACCTTAGAGGCTGGAGAGGAGTTTCCTATGACTGCTGGAACAAAACATCACAAGCATAATGGTTTAAAATCACACAAACTTACTATCTCACAGTTCTGGAGGCCCAAAGTCAGAATGGGTGTCACTGAACTAAATTCAAGGTGTTGGAAGGCTGCTTCCTTCCAGAGACTCTAGAGCATCAATTTCCTTGTTCCTTCCGGCTTCGAGAGGCTGCCAGCATTTTCTGGACTCATGGCCACTTCCTCCACCTTCAAAGCCAGCAGCATAGCATCTTCAAATCTCTCACTGACTCTGACTTTCCTGCCCTCCCTCTTTCACATTTAAAGTCCCCTTGTGATTCCACAGAGCCCACCCAGATAATCCAGGATCATTTTGTTTTTTGTTTTTAAGATTTTATTTATTTATTTATTCATGAGAGACACAGAGAGAGGGGCAGAGACACAGGCAGAGGGAGAAGCAGACTCCCCGTGGAGAGCACGATGCGGGACTCGATTCCAGAACCCCGGGATCACAACCTGAACCAAAGGTGGATGCTCACCACCGAGCCACTCAGGTGCCCTGATCATTTTCTTGTTTTAAGGTCATCTGATTAACACCCTTACTTCTATTTGCAGCGTTAATCCTGCCTGGCTCTATAACATAACATAATCACAGGATGCGGACATCTTTGGGGGGCCATTATTCTGCCTACCACAGTGCTCTGCCCACTTGTAAGGGGCTCCCCGAGTAAGCCGGAAGAACTGTGATTCCTGACATATATGTGCTACGCAGCCGTGATGAAAATCGAAATGCCAGTTCTTGCAAAGCCATGGCACTGCTCCCCATTCCTGTGGATCTACCTCATCCTCAACTGCTCCCTACTACCCCCAGACCACTCTCCACACCCCCACAACCAGCCTGGACAAATCAGAAGGGGCAAGTGTGACATGCAGTACAGAAAACATGGAATCCCCACTGGCCTTGGGACCGACATTTGGTACTAACAATAGGCTATGTTGGCAATAGATGACTGGCCTCCATCTCTCTGTCAAGAACTCCTCTGAAGAAGTTCAGACATTCCACCGGGTAAGTGAAGAGACCTGTCTAGGGGAATTGGAAGGGTCTGGTGCCCGCCCCAGTTTTGGCCCTTCACTTGGCCAGCCCAGCCGACCCCAAAGCCAGCCCTGAACATCCTCAGACACTCGCAGGGTATCTGCCTCCACTTCTGCAGCTTGATCCTCATCTGCTCAAACTTTTCTCTCCTCCTAGTTTGGAACCTTGATCTCATGCTCTTTCCTAGGTGTCTTCTTGCAGGTGGGAACCCCAGGCCTCCAGTAGAATTTTTGGATCCTCCTCCTCTCCAGCTTCAGTGAGGACTTCTTGATTCAGGCTCCCAGTTCTGGGGACTCCACCCATCCATCAGGAGTCGGAAAAGATCCAAGCCCCAGCACCCCTATAAGGAGTAAGGAGAGAATGAAATCCTTTTGTGCTTGACATTTCTCATTTCATTTTTCAAGACTTATTGAAGTAATCTCTATACCCAATATGGGGCTTGAATGCACAACCCCAAGATTGAGAGTCACATGCCCTACCAGCTGAGTCAGCCAGGGACCCTGATATTTGTCATTTCACATTATTTCCTATGTCAGTGGGGTCCATTATACTGATTGACCATATTTTGCTTTGTTGCATCTATGCTTTAAGCTTTTGGGACATTGCCAATCTATTACTATTATAAATATCTCTGCAATGAACATCCTATTCAAATGACTTCAGTTTCCTTTTGGGTTATTTCCTTGGGACTAATTTGCAACCAAAAGATAATTAGATTGAGGTATTCATCTGTTCCTTTTTTGTCTGATGCACATCTCTTTCCACTGGGAACATCCCCTTCCACTTTATGGTTCGGATGTGCTTTCAAGCAAATGTCCCCACCTGTCCTGTCCCAAGGGTAGTGTGTGAGCCAATTTGCTCATGATAGATTGGTAACAACAAACCACAAGTCTCATGGTTTAACACTGTTAAGAATTTATTTCTTGGGGGATTCCTAGGTGGCTCAGTGGTTTAGTGCCTGCCTTTGGCCCAGGGTGTGGTCCTGGAGTCCCGGGATCGAGTCCCGCATCGGGACTCTCTGTGTGGAGTCTGCTTTGGCTCCCTGCGTGGAGCCTGCTTCTCCCTTTGCTTGTGTCTCTGCCTCTGTGTGTGTGTGTGTGTGTGTGTGTGTCTTTCATGAATAAATAAGTGAATAAAATCTTAAAAAAAAAAGAATTTATTTCTTGGTTATATCCTTGCTTGATAAAGGTTTTTGGGAAGTAGAAGAGCAGGACATGGCAGGTCCTTCTATTTCTTTTTAAAAGACTTTATTTATATATTTATGAGAGACACACAGAGAGAGAGAGAGGCAGAGACACAGGCAGAGGGAGAAGCAGGCGCCATGTAGGGAGCCAGACGTGGGACTTGATCCCGAGACTCCGAGATCATACCTTGGGCTGAAGGCAGCACTAAACTGTTGAGCCACCTTGGCTGCCCAGGAAGGTCCTTCTTTTTTTTTTTAATTTTTATTTATTTATGATAGTCACACAGATAGAGAGAAAGAGGCAGAGACATAGGCAGAGAGAGAAGCAGGCTCCATGCCCTGGGAGCCCGATGTGGGATTCGATCCCGGGTCTCCAGGATCACGCCCTGGGCCAAAGGCAGGCACTAAACCACTGCGCCACCCAGGGATCCCCAGAAGGTCCTTCTATAAGCTGAAATTTAGATAGAAGTTCCTTCCTTCTAGTGTCTTCAGTGTTCTTTAGAGCTTCTTTGGGGCCCTTGCATGAGACCTGTACATGCACCAACCATTAAGGAGCAGAGAGTAGGAGGACTGGGGGAGGGAGTACAGCAGCTCTGAAGTTGTACCCCTCACTGCCATATTTGGTTGGCAAGAATTAGTCACACACTTCCACTAGATATGAGGCCACCTGGGAAATGGAGTCTTCTGTGCCCAGGAAGAAATGAAACAGTGATCAACACACAGCATTGTCTTTGCCAGTTAGAAAACCCCGTACTTGAACATGAGATTGCTCAAGAATGGGCATATAACCTTGGTAGATTTATTCTGGGGCATTGCTATGGATCCTGGGAGTCTTCCTAAGGACAAGAGCCATGCAGCGCTTGCTAACATGGAGGTGGCAGGTCTTCTTCCCCAGCAGAGCAAGGGAAGAAGGCTGCTGGAAAACAAAGCCAGGGGCAGGGAGAGCCAAGGAGCTCAGATCCCTGGGGAAGTGCTTTGAGCTCCTGGATCCAGGATCAACTCTTCTGGATAAATTCCCTTTGCCTGAGCTAGTCTGTGTTGGATTTCTGTCACCTACAGCCAAAGGAGTCCTGACTAATAATACATAGGTCCAGGGAGAAAAAGATTTATTTTATTTTACTTTTTAAAAGCATTTTATTTGGGCAGCCCCGGTGGCACAGAGGTTTAGTGCTGCCTGCAGTCCGGGGTGTGATCCTGGAGATCCGGGATCGAGTCCCACGTCGGGCTTCCTGCATGGAGCCTGCTTCTCCCTCTGCCACTCTCTCGCTCTCTCTGAATAAATAAATCTTTAAAAAATAAATATTTATTTATTATTATTATTATTTATTTATTTATTTATTATTTATGAGAGACACATAGAGAGAGGCAGAGACACAGGCAGAGGGAGAAGTAGGGTCCTTTTAGGGAGCCCAATACAGGACTTGATCCCAGGATTCCAGGATCATGACTGGAGTCCAAGGCAGATGCTCAACCACTGAGCCACCCAGGTGCCCCAGGATAAAAAGATTTTAAAATGCTTGAAATAGATTTCGAAAATGCTCTCTAAAACAACCTACCCATCGCATAAGGCAGCTTGTTTCTCCAAATTTTGTTTTTATAACTTACGTTTTTTAAAGCATACCTTAATGTTGTTGTATTCAAATGTTTTTTGCTGGAAAAGGTGAGTCTTTTTTCACAGTTTATGTGCTGTGTTTTCTTGGGTTTATCTCTCTTAACCATATGTTAAAAATAATGACTTTATAAGTCTGGATAAAAGCCATTTTATGAAAAAAAAATTTTTTAAAAGCCATTTTATGAGTCTTCCCTTATATATTTTGGAGGGCAACCTGTTATTGGTTACATCCATCATATAGAAATGTGCACAAAGACTTATGTGGATGGTTGTAGCAGGAATGTCTTTATTCTCCCAACAGAAATTTACTTCTTATTATGAGAG